ACTGAGCCTGGGGGTGCTGAGTCTGGAGCTGCTGAGCCTGGAGGTGCTGAGTCTGGAGCTGCTGAGCCTGGGGGTGCTACGTCTGGAGCTGCTGTGCCTGGGGGTGCTGAGTCTGGAGCTGCTGAGCCTGGGGTTTCTCCTGCTGCTGCGTCTAGCCGGGGGCCCCTCTCTCCACAGGAGCTGCGCGAGTGGTTTGCTCGCCGCTGGAGGCGTGCTGCTGGAGCTAGAGCTTCGTCGACTGTCGAGGGTGCTGGTGCTGCCGGTCCCGGAGCTGCTGGGCCTGCGGGTCCTACTGGAGCTGGAGCTGCTGAGGGTGTTGGTGCTGAGACTACTGCTGTCTGTCCTGGCGGTGGTTCTGCTGCTGGTGCTGCTGGAGGTCCTGCCGCTGGAGGTGTTGGTGGCGCTGGTGCTGTCGCTGAGGGTGCTGGTGCTGTCCCTGCTGAGTCTGGAGCTGCCGCGCGGCCTCGGCCGTACTTCGTTCCGCTCCTACAGCACGTTCTTGGTCTTTCTCCTTCGGTAGAGTGTCCACAGCCTGTCCAGTCGCAGTCACTGTTGGAGCCTTCCTCTCCTCTGCCTGCTCCCTCCCCTTACACTGGTCCTACTGGAGGTCTTGCTGAGCGTCGTGAGCCTGCGTCTCGTCCCACGTCGCCGGTTCGTGCTGCTCGCGCTAGTGGTCGCGGTTCGCGTCAGCGTCCTCCTCCTGTCCCTGGCACGCACCGGATGTCTCTGCGTCCGTCCACTGCTCCTCTGCGTGCCCCTTTGCCTTCTCCTCCTGAGTCCTCTCTTCCTGCGCTTGCCGACCCTGAGTCGGACTCTCTTCGTGCTGCCAGTCCTACTGTCACGCGTCTGCTTGCTACTGTCGTCACTGACCCCTCTTGTGAGTCCACTGCTGCGTCTGCTCTTGTCGCTGAGCTCGTCGACTTTGCTGCTCGCTGCCGTCTAGACTACGCTGCTAGTCTTGTTGCTGAGTCTGCGTCTGTCTGTCCTCCGTCCGTCGGGGGTGATTGTGCTCTTGGCACGGACGTCCTAGAGGACAGGCAGGAGGAGTTACAGTGTCTGGCTGCTGCTTCACCTCATCTCGCGTCTGTACTGCTTGCTCCTGAGGGAGACCCGGATGCACTAGACATCCCGACTCCGCGCTCTTACGCGGAGGCCGTAGAGGGTCCCTACTCCTCTCAGTGGCAGGCAGCTATGGATGCAGAGATGGCTTCCTGGAAGTCCACAGGCACCTACGTTGACGCAGTTCCCCCTCCTGGGGCGAACATCGTCAGTGGCATGTGGATCTTCAGGGTGAAGCGGCCGCCGGGCTCTCCACCTGTCTTCAAGGCGCGGTACGTTGCGCGTGGCTTCAGTCAGCGGCAGGGAGTTGACTACTTTCAGACCTTCTCTCCCACCCCGAAGATGACCACTCTTCGGGTGCTGCTGCACATAGCCGCTCAGCGCGACTACGAGCTTCACTCTCTCGACTTCAGCACTGCGTTCTTGTAGGGTAGCCTGCACGAGGAGATCTGGCTGCGCCGTCCGCCTGGCTTCACTGGGACTTTCCCTCCTGGCACCCAGTGGAGCCTCCGACGGCCAGTCTACGGTCTCCGCCAGGCACCGCGTGAGTGGCACGACACACTGAGGACTACGCTTGCGGCTCTTGGGTTTGCTCCCTCTACTGCTGACCCGTCGCTGTTTCTGCGCACCGACACTTCACTGCCGCCGTTCTACATCCTCGTGTACGTCGACGACTTGGTCTTTGCCACAGCGGACACTGCTGGACTCGCCTACGTGAAGTCCGAGCTGCTGAAGAGACACACGTGCACAGACCTGGGTGAACTGCGCAGCTACCTTGGCTTGCAGATCACTCGGGACAGAGCACGCCGCACCATTACCTTGACTCAGTCACACATGGTGCAGCAGGTCCTTCAGCGCTTCGGCTTCACGTACTCCTCGCCTCAGGCCACTCCTCTGCCTACTCGCCACTCACTCTCAGCTCTGCCTTCGGATGAGTCCGTAGAGTCGAGTGGTCCGTATGCAGAGCTTGTTGGCTGCCTCATGTACCTGATGACCTGCACACGACCTGACCTTGCATACCCTCTGAGCATTCTTGCACGCTATGTTGCTCCTGGGAGACACCGACCAGAGCACATGGCTGCAGCGAAGAGGGTATTGCGCTACCTGTGCAGTACGTCGGGCATGGGGCTAGTGCTTGGAGGGCGGAGTCCAGTGGTCCTTACAGGCCACGCGGACGCTTCTTGGGCTGACGACCAGGCTACGCAGCGGTCGTCACAGGGTTACACCTTCAGCCTTGGTTCCGGCTCTGTCTCGTGGCGGTCTACTCGTTCGTCTTCAGTTCTCGGCTCCAGTTGTGAGGCTGAGATCTACGCCGGGGCCATGGCTGCACAGGAGCTTCGCTGGCTCACCTACCTGCTGACTGACCTTGGAGAGCCGCCTCGTTCTCCTCCAGTGCTGTACGTAGACAACAAGGCCATGCTGGCCTTGTGTCGAGAGCAGCGCTTGGAGCACAGAACGAAGCACATTGCTCTCCGCTACTTCCTTGCTCGTGAGCTGCAGCAGCGTGGTCAGTTGCGACTTGCGTACGTGGCCTCTGAGGCCAACACTGCTGATGTTTTCACCAAGGCACTCGCGCCTTGTGACCATCAGCGCTTTTGCACCCAGCTGGGTCTTGTGCCTGTCTTGCCTCACTTGCTCTCCTCTTGACTTCACTTGTACTGTGACATATATATATACCTGGTCTTGCTTGTCTAGTTTTATATATATATCTGTCCTCCTGCATGTGAACTGGCCTCTGGCCCTGCTCTTGTGCTCGGACTGTGTGGTGACTTTGTGATCCACCCTGAGCTTGCTTTGCTTTGCTTTGCTTGACTGGTCTTGTGACCCCTTGTTCTCCCCCACTTTGCCTATGGGGGTGTGTCAGAGTATTATAACTGATGCATGTTTGTAGGCTATAGTGGGGTAGCACATATGGGGTACAGCTTTCTAGGGTTGTATTTGTACCCAACTCTGACTTAGTCATTTCATTCGTGTTCTCTTATCTTTCACAGGCTCCTCACTAGCAACCAAGTTCTATGTCTCCAAAAGTTGATACTCTCATGCAACTCTCTTCCAAGGCTACCATTGATGGTTACTCTCTCTATGCATGCCTATGTATCCCTCATGGATCTATAAGGCTTGTACTATACCTCTTTCAATATAAGTTTATGCTCACAAAGTGTCTCTCATTAGTCTACAAAGTTAAGCATCAAGTGAAGAGTAGTCACCTCATACTCTACTTGAGTATAAGGTTCATTACTTCCTACAAGCTTGAGGAATGATCATCACCCAACACCAAGCTTGATGTTCTTCTTCAAGTAAAGCTCTCAAGACCAAGCCATTCCTACAAGTCACCTCTACAACTATCCATAGTAAGATTCACTTAAGTAAGTGCTTATCACCTCTCTTATTCCCTCAACAAGCTCAGACTCTCTTTCTCTTTTTTGAGTTCTTGTCTCATCAAGCATTCCACCTTACACAAGTTTCTCTTTATAGTCACAAGTTCTAAGTATTATCTTCTCTTCTATCAAGCTCATCCGCATTTGCTACAATTCCACTGTTCACTCTTGTCTTATTCTATTGTGCAATCATACTCTTTTCTCCTTATCTCAATTATCTACACTTTATGCGAGCAAGTGAATTTATGAGTTTCCCGAGCCGCAGGGCTTCAGATTCGTTTTGGGCCACCCTTAGTAATCAGGGTTCTAGGTATAGTCAACCCTGATGCGTAGGGTAAAATTTTGGTTTCCCTGTCAAATGCAGGGTAAAAAAACAGTTAGTCTGTTTGGGCAGGGTATTCTTAAAACTTTATGGTTAGTTAAAATCCCGAAGCACTCGAGATCAATGGCTAGTATTTCAGCTGGTACAATTGCGCATTAGATCGCAAGGTCGCAAGTTCAAATCTCGCTATTTGATCGTTTTGCAGGGACCTTTATAGTGTTTCGTCTCGCTACGGAGCACTCAGTACCAGTATAGCTTGGATTGTACACTGTACAGTCAGAGTAATGTGTTCCTTATGCTGCTTTTCAAAGGGTATTGAAAAACTTACACTTTCTGGCCTAGGGTAAAAAATCCACTACCCTGCCTGTGAAAGGGTAACTGAAAAAAAGCAGCCGCCAGTCAGTGCAATAAGGGTATTTTACCCTGATAACGAGAGGCCTGCCGAGCCGCGAATTGAAATTGACTGTCAATCCCGATTGAGGCTTGAAACCAGAAAGGCAACAGAGATTCACTGATAGACGTGGCTGTCCAATTGATGCGCCACGGTGGATGGTCCGCTTCGTCGCTCACTGGATCTGAGATGTAAGCTTAGCCGCGTGGCCGTTTTCTCGCCACCCACTAAGTCAGCCAGAGGTCAGAGCTTCTCCATGTCAGATCTGGCGTGTCTTTTGGAACTTTTCTGGGTCGATCGAGCTCTGTCACCAGCGTACCTCAGGCGTTGTTGACCCCCTGTGACCTGGTTTGCTGGATGAAGCGGGCGGGTACAGTATGAAGGACAGCACACACGAAGCTTGCCAAAGTTTTCCGCGTTTAGAAGAAAACGCTTGTATTCAAGACGATAGACAGACAACATAACTGGCTTCAAGGTGATAACAAGCTAGTACCCACTCTGTTCGATAACAAACGTATTAGAATGGACTAAGATACTAGCGGAAGCTTTAGTAGTCTTAGAACCTCCTCCTAAGGCCTAGGAATCCTAGGAGCCCACTTGGGCATGAACCATGCTAGAACCAAAGTGGTTTCCAAAAGTGAAATGCCAACAAGAGAGAACCCTAACCTATAGGGTTTGGGAGGTGGTCCACTCTAAAGAGTGTACACCACAAGTTCTCCCAACCCAACCAATGTATTCTACACTACCATAGTGTAGATGTACCACTACATATGTTTATTGGAGCAACCCGAATTAACCTTAATTCCAACACCCCCCCTTGCTCCATTAAGCATTAAAGTTCACCCATAAATCAAAATACAACCCCTCCAGCGAATGAAGCCTTGGCCTTCGCAGCAATCACTCGCATGCCGATGCGCTCCAGGTTCTCATGCAGCTGCAAGCTTGGAAGAGCTTTGGTGAGCATGTCGGCATCCTGGAGGTGGGAGCGTACTGAGTGCACCTCGACCTCCTGCTGGCGCACCGCATCCCGTACAAAGTGCCATGCCACCTTAATGTGCTTGGTGCGCTGATGGAGAACGGGATTGTGGGCAAGGGAGACAGCTGCCTCATTATCACAGAGCAATGGAATAGCCCCCCCATCCCCCACATGCATCTCTGCCAACAGACTCCTCAACCAAATGGCCTCCTTGGCCCCCTCCGATAGAGCTTTGTACTCAGCTTCAGAAACGCTTGCTGCAACACTGTCTTGCTTTTTGCTATACCAGCTGATTGCTCCTCCTCCCAGCTTAAAGATGTAGGCAGAGCGACTCTTGCCATCAGTCTCACCACCCCAATCCGAGTCTGTGTACCCGACAACCTGCTCACCACCTTGGCGCTCATACCTGATGACACGATCAGCTGTGTCGACCAAGTACCTGAGTGCTCTCAGTGCAGCGCGCATGTGAATGCGTCTTGGTGCCACGCAGGACTGTGCAAGGGTGTTGACAGTGAAAGACATGTCAGGACGGGTGGTCACAGCAGCATACATCAAGCTGCCAATGAGACTCTGGTACACCTTGACATCAGCTGCAACACCTTCCTCAGTTGACCAAGTACCATTCCTGATCTTAGAGAGATCATTGGGTGACATTGGAGTATGCACCCTATGGGTCTCCTTTAGCAGATCACCAAACCTTCCCTGGAGACCACGGACATACTTCTCCTGACCAATCTCCAACCACCCATCCTTGACCGACCTGCGAACCTCCACACCAAGGTACATGGATACCTCACCTAGATCCTTCATCTGGTACCTCTGAGCAAGCACCTCCTTGACCTGACCGATCAGCTCCAAGCGTGGAGACACAAGCAAGAGGTCATCCACATACACCAATACATACACTGGCTCTTCATCCACAAACCTGATGTACAGAGCCTCATCACATGCACTGCGGTCAAACCCTGCTGCAATCAAGGTGGTACCAATCTCCTCATTCCAAGCACGAGGCGCTTGCTTGAGCCCATAGAGAGCTTTGCGCAAGCGATGCACCCTACCTGTACCATCATCAAATCCCTCAGGTTGCCTCACATACACTTCCTCTTGAAGGAGTGCATTGAGGTAAGCATGATCAACATCCTCCTGTTGTACATGCCACCCTTTTACCGCGGCTTCTGCAAGAAGCACCCGACCTGAGGTCAGCTTGCCCACAGGGGCAAATACCTGATCATAGTCCTTCTCAGGCTCCTGAGTGTACCCCTTAGCAACAAGGCGAACCTTGTGCTGTACCACCTTATCCTCCTTGTCAGTTTTCCTGCGGAAAACGTACCGGACCCCAATGGCCTTCTTACCTGGAGGTAAGTCAACCGGCTCTGGATCCCATACACCCATAGTGCGCATTGCATTTACCTCCTTCTCAGCGCCTGCCTTCCACGCAGGGCCCTCAGGGCCACGCAGGGCCTCAGCGAGTGTGCGTGGGACATCACCTGTGCTCACACCTGCCAGTGCAACACCTTCCACCTCCCTGGCCAAACATAGCATGCCCTCAACCACACCAGCATCCCCCCCTACCTCCTCACCACCTGTACCAGACTGGATACCAAGCACCTGCAAACCCGTAACCGGTGGTGGGGAGGTAGTCGCTGGTGACGGAGGGGCACCCGTAGAGAGAGGGATAGAGCGCTGACCAGAGGAGGAGGAAGAGGAAGTAGCCTGTGTAGCGGATCTCCGCTGAATGACCGAGGGGCCACTGAGCTTCTGCAGAGGGGTGGGCTGCTGCTGCACCGACACACTCAGCGGTGCCGGTGGCAGTGGTGAAAGTGGCATCTCAACGTCGTCAGCCGTTGCTGAAGGTGGCGAGAGTGGAAGAGGGAGGAGTTGGGAAATTGCAGCTGCATCCTGCAGAAGCTCCCCAAATTCCTTTGCCTTGTCCCAATCCTTCCACATCACATTCTCAAGGAAATCAACATCCCGAGCAATGCGAATGCGCATGATAGAAGGGTCCAGCATGCGCCAACCCTTGCTCTCCATGTCCACCCCAACACAGACACACATGACAGCCCGTGCATCAAGCTTGCCACCCTTCTCATGCCCATGCAACATGACACTCCCCATGCAACCCCAAATCCGAGCCATGCCCACATGCGGCTTCTGGCCGGACCACGTCTCCATTGGTGTGATGGAGGCAGGCAAAGCACTGTGGGTGACCCTGTTCTTAACCCACACGACCCACATCAATGCTTCACCCCACAAGCGAGCAGGGAGACCACTGTCGACCAACAATGTGCGAATCCCCTCTGCCATCGTCCTGTGCCACCTCTCCACAACCCCATTCTGTTGCGGTGTATCTGCGACGCTCAATTGAGTTTTAATGCCAAACTCCGCCTTCCATGCTTTTACAGCTTCCCCCAAGAACTCGCCACCCCTGTCCGAGCGAACAGCCTTCAGCTTCCGCCCACACTCCAACTCCACGTCCTTATGCCACTGGCGAAGGACTTTTGCAACTATGGCCGATTCCTTGTTGGGGAGGGGGAACGACCAAACTCGTCTGGTGAAGTCGTCAATGAGACTGAGGACATATACCGCTCCTCCCAGTGATGGTGTGCGCACCGGCCCCCACAAATCCATGTGGACCTCATCCAAAGGCCCAAGTGCCCGAGACGCCTCATGGGGAAACGGCTTCCGAGCCGACTTTCCCAATAAGCAGGGCTCACATGGGGAACAATCAGTGTTCCCCCCCCCAATCTCCAAGCCCTGTACACTGTTCCCCCGAGCCATCTGTTGCAATGTTGTGGGGGCGGTATGACCAAGGCGGCGATGGGCAAGGGTCAATGGGGAAAATGAGGAGGACGACTTAGCTGCAAGAGCACTGCCTTGTGTGCCCTGAGCAAGAGGAAGAAACATCCGCACCAATCCATGGTCCCTTCCCCTCTCCTTTTCTCCAATCGCCAACACCCGCTCCCCCCGTTGAAGAACACATCTCTTGCCTTTGAATGTGACAATGACATCTCGAGAGGTGAGGTGTGGGACTGACAGCAGACGCGTGTGCATCTCAGGCACAAGGTGGACCTTTTGAATCCTCAGCAGCTGACCTCCAGCACCAACCACTGGCACCTCACCCATGCCAACAGCTTTCACCACCCGTCCATCTCCCAATCTAACTCCCCGAACCTCTGGTGGTTGAAGCTTACTTTTGAAGTCCGATGCATAAGGAGTAAAGTTGTGGCTGGCCCCACTGTCAATCCACCACCCCTCTCGCGGCTGCTCCTCTCCCACTGCTGCAACTGCTTCTCCAACCACTGCCTCTGCCTTGTCATCCTGCTCCTCCTCATCCGCCACCTGTGCCTTGCCGTTGGACCCACGACCCCCCCGCTGTAAGAATGCCGGAATGCCTCCCTTAGGTCGATGAGGACATCGCTGCCATGCATGTCCCTCATCCCAACAGCCATGACACAACCCCCGAGGAGCCATGCCCTTGGACCCCCAAGGGAAATCAAGCACTCCCGCTTTGCCTTTCCCTTGACCCCATCTGCCCGAGTTGGTGTCACTGCTGCTACCGCTGTCTCCATGCTTTCCTCCCTTGACCCAATTTCCCCTGCCGCTGCTGCCCACTTTCGTACCCGCTCCAAATGTGGCTACACCATCCGATCTTGGTGCGACACCAATCCGCATCTCCTCGCTCCTCAAGGAGGTAAGCAGCTGATCCTTAGTGAGCGATGATGACTGGTTGTTCAACACCACCTTCAGCATCTCAAAGTGAGGAGGTAGTCCTTTGAGTATCCTCATCATCCACTCCTCAACCTCCTCCTTTCCTCCTGCAGCCAAGTACTTGGACCTCAAGTCCTCGGCACGCGCCCAGTATGCAGCCACCCCCTCCCCCTCTTTCATCTTCAATGAAGAGAGCTCCTCAGAGAGTGCCATCCGGTTACACAATCCACGCTGAAGGTAGAACCCCTTCACTCGTATGTATGCCGCTGCTGTGCCTGCAGGAATTCGGGTGACCGCTCTTGCTCCGCCATCAACAGGTGCGCTGCCCAACTCGGTCTTGCCGCCGAACTCCCGTACCAAGCGAATTAGCTCATCTGGCACCAAGGCATTGCAGAATTGAGCGAATGCCTTCTGATTTTTTCTCTCCCACTTCAGCCGTGCGTCACCCGATGCAGGCCGCTCCTCCGAACCATCAAAGTACCCCCATAGATCGTGTGCCTCTGCCCATTGTTCGAATCGGAAGCTCCAAGTCCAATAGTCGCTCCCGTCGAACTTTGGCGCACTCTCCAGCTTTCCTTCACCTGAGTCATGATCCATTTGCGGCAGACACTCTGGAGATTGACGTTGAGGTGGTGGTGGAGGCAACGGCGGCGGTGGTGGAGACGATGTGGACAGATTTGCCCCCTCTTGGTTTTTGGAGCGTAACTCCGCGCTCGAACCTCCGAATGATGAGCCGTTTGTCTCAGATGAATCTTTGCTCCAAGACCGTTCCGATGATGTATCGCGCTCCTGGATCCCGCTTCCAAGCTGGCCGCTTAAACTCGTCGAAGTTGGCCGATTTCCCGTCGACGAAGACTCAACCGTTTCTCCCGATTTTTGGCTTGTTGGATGCGCCCTGGCCTCCTCTATCGGCGTCTGGCCTCCAATCTTTTTTCCGCGCTTTAAATCTTCCCCGATTCGCGATTTTCCAATTCGTCCGCCGGCAGTTTTTCGCGAATTGCGTCCGATCCCCTCGTCGATTAGTAACAACCTTGAGGCAATTGTTGTAGAGCGTGCTGAGACCTTTTCAACGGTATGCTGCACGTCTTGATCGGCCAAAGTTGACTGAGCGCCTCCGTGGATGGATGCCGCTCTTCTCGTCCTCCCAAACGGATCTACACGATTTCCAGCAGTTTTCTTCTCTCCTCCTCCCCTCTCACGTCCAGAGTCCGCCACGGTGCAATTTCGGCAGCCCTTCGGGAGGAATGGAAGCTAACTAGCTTCCACCAAGATCTTATGGTCCAATGTCTTGAGTAACTCCTTTTCCAACAGATTGCTAGGCCTTCCTTGCTCTGATACCATATTAGAATGGACTAAGATACTAGCGGAAGCTTTAGTAGTCTTAGAACCTCCTCCTAAGGCCTAGGAATCCTAGGAGCCCACTTGGGCATGAACCATGCTAGAACCAAAGTGGTTTCCAAAAGTGAAATGCCAACAAGAGAGAACCCTAACCTATAGGGTTTGGGAGGTGGTCCACTCTAAAGAGTGTACACCACAAGTTCTCCCAACCCAACCAATGTATTCTACACTACCATAGTGTAGATGTACCACTACATATGTTTATTGGAGCAACCCGAATTAACCTTAATTCCAACAAAACGTGGGTAAATCAGAAAGCAAGCAAGCTAGTAGATTACAGTAGTTATTTATAAACAGTGGTTGGCATATTGAATCGAATGTCATCTCGAAGTACTGTAGCAAAAAAGGTTTGCATAACATCAGCATGTCACTCCCAGAGAAGCACACAAAATCTAGACAGGCAACTGAGTACCCTTGCCCAGCCCAGGGGTCAATTCAAACCACGAAGCAACCCACTCTACATCAAAACAACTACTTCAGCAAGCATCCCTCATCCTCCCACCTCCTTCCGAACCCATCCCCCATCCCACAAGTGCCTATGCAATGTAACCCCTCTCCTTCCTCAGCTGGTCGATCCCAACCTCCTTCACCAGCCTCACAACACCCAGTTCCGCCCCCTCCCCTCCTCCACCCACCCAATTCTCCTGCTGAAACGCACACGCCTCCCCTCCCGTCCCTTCCGCTTTCACTCGCACATCCTCCCCTGACGCCACCACTTCCAGTTCCTTCCCACCTGGAGCTGCAGCCCCACGTGCTCCCAGCACTTGAAAGAGCTGGTTCTGATGGTCGAGGGAAATAAAAGGGCGAGAGGAGGACGAGGCGGTCGGATGAGCGGGGAATGCCGCACACACAGCTGCTCCTGCGGATGATTCTGACGGGGACGATGAGGAGGAGGATGGATCGGAGGAGCTGGGGAGAAAGCGGTTGTCGAGTGCAGTTGACGCAAATGTGACAGGCGACGACATAGCATCTTGTCCCTCACCCTCCCTCCCTGCACCGTCCGCTGCTCCCGACCCAACCGCAGGATCACCACCCGCCTTGCTGGTGCCAGTCACATTGGCAAAGGGGAAATCCATGGGCAGTCGGGGGAGAGGGGAGAATATATTATCCTGCGCCAGGAACGCCAGGAGAAGCTGTTGCTGCGCATCAGCGTGAGTGCCTGCAGGACCAGCAGCAGCAGCAGCAGCCGCAGCAGCAGAGGTAGAGGCAGAGGCAGAGGATGTATGGCCTGAAGAGCCGTGGCCTTGAGTGCTCCCAACCACTACCTCCAACACTCGCTGCAGGGCCCATGCGTACCCTATAAACATCCCCGGGTTAAGGAACCTGTTCGGCGCGCTGTTTGCTGAATGCGGCTTGTAGAAGAACGAGGAAGATGAGGAGGCGGAGGAGGCGGAGGAGGACGCGGAAGAGGAAGGTGCGGGCGCGCAGCGGTCGTTGGCTGCGAAGGCCACGGGTGACTGTAACGAGAGGAACGACTCAAGCAGGTGCTGCTGCTCGCAGTGCCTACTAGGCAGCATAACGACGTTGTCGGAGCTCGAAACGGCTACTATGCGGTCCGGCGGCACGACGTGGAGGTACTTAAAGAGGAGAATCATCCAGGAAGGTTCTGGAGAGCCGGGAGGCGAAGGCGGGGGAGTGGTGGATGGATGAAGGCCGAAGATGGTGATAGGGATGTCGTTCATATGGCATGAATCTACGAGGCGGTGAAGATTCTCCGAGCATTTGAAAGGTGCGGCTCCCCCCGATTCAGGCCCTTTCGATATAGTGACCCACTCGATCGCGCATTGGGAATGCTTGAGATTAGGAGTGCCGGTAGCGGAGGGAGGAACGGCTGCTGACGTGTATTCCACGGTGCAACCATCCCGAGCGGGAAAACCCGCTGTAGAGGTCCTCGATATTCGATCCCACCGCTCTATCGCGCCAATGGCACGCTCCGAGCCGGCTTGCGCTAAGCGGCTGCATTCCTGCGTGCGAAGCGGCGGGCGAAGCGGTGACTGTGAAAGAGACGTGAAATAAACGGCGTTGCGTTGAGAACCAGAATCCGTGCCGGAGATGAACATTGATGGTAATAGTAACAGAAGGGTGAGCACGAGACCCGCGATAGCTAATGCGACTACCACGCGGCGCTTCTGCGACCAGGGCAGGCGATTAAGCTTGCTGAGGAGCAGACCAAATTTGACGGAAAGACTGGGCCTTGGGTGTGCCATGATTTGCTTCAGTATCGCTTGTGCGAGTCGATTAAGAAAGTGTGAATCTTAAAGCACTCTCCTTCTTTGCCGAATGTAAAAACCTACCTGACCTCCTGCCTACTAGTCTTACTGATTTTTAGTACGTAAAACCCAATACAGAAAGCCTTCGACATTGAACTGGAGCATTGTTCCCGTTACTGCACATACTGATATATTCATAACGCCGTCCAGAATCGCTCTTGTTGAAGCGCTCAACATCTGTTCTGTAATCGAACCACCACAAACTGTGCTGAGCGCTCAGACAAAACCGTTTCGAACCGTTACTCACCTGGGTGGTTGCTGATGCTCAATTCGTTCAGGCCAAACCACCCAGAACCGAGAGACCCTGGCTATGAAGGGTGATTTGCCTGCCCCTCCTCTCCCCATCGTTGTTCCGCGCCAGCACCACTAGCCCCCCCAAAGCTCGCCCCACTTCCAGCACAAGCGCCTCTTTCTCCCGCTCCCGCTCCCCCGCTCCCTGATGCAGATATGTTCGGCCATTATCTCCGATACTCAGATTTCGCCTGAGCGCGCTCTCAGGTGTAATCACCAACAGAAACACAGTTTCTCGATATAGTACAAAGTTATTCTGGCTCATGTTCGTATACAGTCACTCAGAAAAAGGAATTCTAGCACTTGCAAAAAAAATAAATATAATGCCCGTAGCGAAACTATATGATTTCCAGGAAGGATCAACCCTAAATACCGAAAGCCACCCAATATTTTGGAAAACATACTGCAACCCATTTGACAAAAAAATAATACCCACCTCGGATTGGGATGCGGCTCGGGAGGCATCAACCCTAAAAACAATGCCCATTCCCGTGTTTAGGGTTGACCCCTCTCGAAAATGCATCCAAGTTCCCTAGGGGTTTTATTTTTTTCTGCCATGCCCGAATAGGTATCGGTAGTGTCGTCGTCGTCGTCGAGATTTGGATGAAGGCATAACAAATCCCCATCAGTGTTATCTTCCCTTGATTCAACCATTCGATGAATGGCTCTCCCCCATGGCTCCTTCTGAGAACTTCAACTTACTCAATGTCATGCTTAGCTCTATCAGTTCGACCATCTGAATACAGATCCGGGATCTACTCATCAAGAGCTTGTTTATGACGCCAACATTGTGTTCACAGAGTGAACATCGGTTAGTCGTAACTGCTTCTATGAAGATCTCTGTTTTTCATGTTAAGCAACTGTTTTTAAGCTCAAGACATTCAAGTTACTCTAAGGAAGTTAAAATGGTCGGGTCAAACTGTCGCTTAAGATGGCACCGTGAAAACAAGACAGGTTCAAGACAAAGAAGCGGAAAGTGCAAGTACAAGGAGGCTGGACAACGGAATATATTTCGTTTATCTGCCTTTGCTGCGATTCATCGTCTACCAAAGAGAGAGGAAGCTCATGGTCAAGTGCGGAGACCACCTCAATCACTAGCAGGAACGATCAAGGATGGACCAGAGTCAATTTTCCATCAGATTGAATTTATGATGTCGGCGAAACGGGACGTTTCACGAAATTTTGGCACGGCTCCTAGAGTATTTCAAGACGTTGACTATTTTCCTACTGGAATGTGTGAAGAAGGTTATTCCGACTTTAAGATTCTGAAGAACAGGAAGACAAAAGTCGATTCTGGAATTTTCCCTACGTTACAAGAAGCATATTTTCATTTGGAAGAAATAGATGACGCCGTCAGAGTGTTTCGGCGCCATGAATCAAGGCAAGATACTCGAGGTGTTTTTCCCTCTGAAGGTGTTTTGCTCTCAGTTGCTCCTATCACACTGCTCACACAAGCTCGAACGACTGCAAGTGTGATTGGAAACATTCGTCGTCCCCAAGGCCCTGTCAGGCATCAACTTCTAAGCAGGGCAATTTCTGCTGTAACCCAACTCCACCAATCTCAGCAAGGCAAGGTCAGAGCCAATCGACCAAGGCTAAAGCGTCACATTCGTCACCAAGGCCTTGTTCAGCAGCAGCGACCTAGAGCTGCTTCTGTTGCAAACCAACCTCACCAGACCAGGGAAGGCAGGTTCGGAGGAGCCAAGCCACCCAAGCTGAAGCGACAAAACCAACATGAGGAATGTATCGAGATGCTTCTGCAAGTACTGAAGTGTGACAACGGCACAATAGGTTTTTGTGGCGGGCAAGCTGAAATGTTTAGGCGTTTGGTCTATAAGCCTCCGTAGAGATCTGGGAGGGTACGGTAGTATACACTACATATGCCCTCTAGCACCGGTTACGACCGTGGTGTTTTTGCATTGTACGTGTATAGTGTATATTTCACCTACCAAAAAAAAATTTGGCAGTGTCGTCTAGTGCTTTCGGTAGCGTTGTTTAGCGGTCGGTTGCGCTAATGAGCACTACCAAGTGAATTATATGGGCTTCATTCTCTTACTAATTTAATTTCCGTACATATATCCAAGCCGGAAGGGTAAACTGGATGGTTTTGTTTTTGTCACTTCCTAATGAGTTCGACCAGCGTGAGAAATGTGACTAAAAAGTGTCAGAGGTCCACTGGTGATCCCCGATCGATCCTAGGGAAGGGTTACAGGCACGATTGCCTGGGGGGTTATGGGCGCACTGACCCGCTACTGAAACAAGCCCTTTTATCCCAATGGTCTAGTGGTTGGGATTCTGAGATGGTATCCAGAGCGAAGGTCTCGGGTTCGAATCCCGGTGTATGCACTTCGGGCATCCCAGTGCGGGGGGGTGTCAGAGGTCCACTGGTGATCCCCGATCGATCCTAGGGAAGGGTTACAGGCACGATTGCCTGGGGGGTTATGGGCGCACTGACCCGCTACTGAAACAAGCCCTTTTATCCCAATGGTCTAGTGGTTGGGATTCTGAGAAAAAGCGACGACTAATCATCGTTGAGAAAGTCCAGGTTGAACACACCTGAGAACGCGGTCTGGAAAAATCTGAGTACCGGAGATAATGGCCGCAGATATTTTCCGCCACACCAGGCACCCCGCGTCACCCCCTTCTTCCAGAGCTCCGCCTGCACCTCGACGGGCAACAACCCTCGGCGGTGCTCTCCCGCCATCAAATAACATCTCCTTCCACTCGCGCCAGGCCCACTGAGGTCTGCTTTGCAGCAGATCCGAGATACCCTCAAGTTTGGGCTGGGTGGGTTTGTCAGTCACCTCACCCAGGCTCCCAGGAAGTCAGGATGTTTTACCCAGCTCAGCCCTGGCTTGTTTAGAAAAACGAAAATTTGAGGTGAACAGTGCTGGCGGAAATTTTGCCCTGCCAGCTCCGTCAAGGAATTAAAAGAACCCTGCCAATTTCTTGAGTATGCCGCGCTTGGCACACTGCAGTGGCAGGGTGAAGGTCGATCACATCTCACTTCTGGTAGGGTGACTCAAAACACATTGAGAGGCCCTCACCTCACGTTCTCTGACGGACTGCTTGCGTCTGCTCTGGAGTTACAATCAGATCGACTCTGCTCCAATATTGTGAATCTTCCTCTGCTAGCTGTTGGCTGAGGACTAGGCAGCGAGACAGTAGTGACAGGAGTGGGGAAAGCGCAGCAAACTGCTCAGACCATATGAGACCACTTGCCTTACCATGCGTCTGTTGGCCTTAATAAGTGATATTTCCGGATATTTCGTTGTTCTTGCTCGTGGATTGGCCCGGCGCGTTTGTAACCCTCGCGATATTTACCCTACCCAATGGCACTTTCGTTCCCAAGTTATTGGAAAAGCGCTTGCTCTAAAAGAAAGCTGTGGTGTTGCTGGGGAGAGGGAGGAGGGATATTTCTTCGCGATGACACGTCATTCACTTAGATATTTCACCTGACGTACTTAAGTTGATCCCTCACTGCGGTCCATCGTGGATTGGTCAGTTCAATATCGAAGTGATCTCAATGTTCTGCCAATCTGAGGTAGAAGGCATATCTCCATCAATCACATCTGATATGGCATTCCTTCTTCCTACGAGGCTACAGCGATCGTCGATTCCGCTCTTCATTGCCCTGCCAGCATGTCACCGTCGCGAGTTACTGGTGCCATGGCGGCACCTCAGTCGCTTTTAAGAGAGAGCCTCCCATCAAACGCCGCGTCTCGTGGCCTCGTTTTCCTTCTAAAGAGAAAGCCTTCCACTCCTAAACTCACAATCGCCGCTCTACTTCTAAAGTCACTCAATCGAAAAGCACGTTGTTGCTCGTCTACGCACACGAGAAGCTTGTTTCAGAGAAAGGAGAGAGACTTTCAGGAGCGCGTCTCTCCCCGCCGTAAGCTTGCATTTCTCGATGGGAATTCCTCCAACGATGATACCTCCCCGTGTCAGCGAAATCCACCCCACTCTGCTTCCAACCCCGCGAAGGGTTGCTTCCGAACCCGTGCTACCCACAATGGTGCAACGCCGCATGGCTCAGCTCAACAGCAGCAAGAATCATCAAGACTCCCCGTTGATCGGAGCGGGATTTCCATCAGGGTTCAAGACTCCCAGGGTTGCTTCTG